ACTCTGGAGTCGCTCCCCCTTGCCTTGAATTGCCACGGTTAGTCGTCCCACGACTATCATTTGGGCCTCGACTGATTAGTGCACTAACAGGAGCAGTGGTAGGCAGTGATGAAAGATTCTCGGTCCTCATTAGACGGGAGAACACCTCCTGAAGGGTAGGAATCTCAGATCCAGACAGAATTTGAGAGCGAACAGCCTCATACTCAGGCGGGAGACCAGTAAGGAAACTCATGATGGCCATGTGTTCTCGTTGAGCCTGTTGAGCCTTCAGATCAGTAGTTAAAGGCATTAGGACATTCAGTTCTTCATACATTCGTTTGAAGTCCATGAAGTAGGCCTTGAGAGGACGATCCTGCTTTTCTGCACGATAGAAAGCCTTGCAAACCTCATAAACACGAGAGATGTTGCCCTTCCCTGAGTATAAAAATTCTAAATAATTCATCAGTTCTTTAACAAATTCACAGTGAGTAACAGAGGGAATAATCTCACTGTCGATAGAGTTGCGGATTTGTAAGAACAGTCGTGCATCATCCCGCAACCATGATTGACGAGAGTCATTTTTCGGGGGGTCGTCAGTTAAGTGACCCTCTTTCTCAATGCTTCGCAAGTAGATACGAATAGTCTTACTCCAATCTAGATAATTTGTCCAATTCAATTTGTGTTCAGTAATCTTAACGACTACTGGAACCACTTCAGAAGTAACTGTAGACTTAGTATCACCCATGAGGAATCAACAGAGAGGGTGAACAAAAAGAAAGGTTCAAATAGTGACAAAAAGGAAATGAGAAACCACAAATAGTCACACCAGGGACCAACTAACAATCTCCAAACGTAGCCTTGAAACAGATCAATGACCAGAGGCAAGAAAACAGATCTGAATCTCAAACAGAATGCAACAACGTTGCCTCACAAGACCCAAACACTCTGGATCAAGACAAAGAGAGCGACCCAGATCTGAGACTCACCAGGGATGCGCCGGAAAATGGGAGACAAAGTCAAAAAACCGCTCAGACGTCGGAAAACAGGGCGGCGCGTGGACGAACAGTGACGGCGCGTGAAGACTGTGGCGGCGCGTAAGGCTCACGCGCTGCTCGGACGGCGGCGATACTTCGGGGTTCGGCCGGTCGGAACCTCGCGATCCTCCCTGGCCGGCGCATGCTCCGTTCAGAGGCCAAATAAAGAAGCCCTAATGATGGGCACGAATCTGGACAGCAGGAACAGTGTGTGTACGGCGCAGCAATGTTTAAACAGAGGGAAATTACTCTTATACAGACTGCTCTGATACCATATTGAGAAGGTAAATATGTTTCTTATCTTATTCACATTGAGAATGAGAAAATATATACACAAGGGAGGAGCCTAGGCATTAATGGCTCATTATTAGGAGATAATATCGTATCATATCTAATCTGATCCTATGCTATCATATTTGATTTCCTATACTAATTACAATGATATTTCATATCTTTACAAACTAATCATTTTGGTAAGGACATTCCTCAAGTCCTCATCTTATTAATCCCCACATTTCTTTCATAGACTTCCGAAGCTATTAATACAATTACATTATTTTTAACCATAACCCTATGATTGGCCCTGATATATATATTTACATAATCTTAAACACTTGAAATATCCTAGTACTTTGTGACTCCAAATATTTGAGATACCATGCTATTTCATATATTAACTAGTAACTTTTAAAAAAAAATTCTCATATTTATATACTCCATAGGTAAATGGGTATCATTCCTAATCTCTTTTGTCCCAAACAATTTTTCTTAATAAATTCTAAAACTCCTAAAAGAGTTTCTCTAATGTTTATTCAATTTCAACACCTAATCTATTTTCAAATCAATTCAACCATCTCCTATTAATGGCGATACTTAATATTTCGCACTCATTAATTCATCTAACCATATATGAACTGTATGGCTTCTTTGCTAAACTCATTTAAGTACTTAACACCTTTTATCCCATGAGAAATCATTTAGTACTTTAATCTGAAAATTTTCTTCAGATTTAACTTAATCCCACTTGAACACTATAACTATTCATCTATCCATTACCTATAGATCCTTAAACACACCTATATCCATCCATATTAATTCAATTTCATCCTTTTACACCCATGGTCATTAATCCACCCATTAAAATTTCCATCCACCATTTAGAAACCTCAAGCAAACCTCAAACATCAAATTTCAAGTCAATTCCTAGCTTCTAAAACCTCAGGCTCAAGATCATAGTTTTAAACCTTTGTTTCATGGTCTCTAAACTAGTTTAATAACTTAGAATACTTGTTTAGCATTCAAAATACCAAACAGCACTCTCTCTTTTTCCCAGTTAATCTTAAAGTAGCCTTTGGCCTCTCCCCCCTTGTGTATTCGGCCCTCTCTTTAAATCTGAAATTTCTTGCTTGGGGGGAAAAATGTCCCAACCTAAACTTGAAACTTTAAACCCAAACACTCCAAATGCTCATATATAACAGCAACTTCACACCAATTCTTAACTTCCAATGTCACTCGTCGCATCACACGCATAATTAAATGCCTACTTTCTCCTGTCACTTTTCTGAACTTTTCCAGCATTAAAACTATCAAGTAAACCGGTCCTCAAGCAAACTTTTAATCATCTACATTATTTGGTCAGCATTTAACAACATAGGGCAGTGAATTCCAATCAGATTCAGCTTTTACACTTTCTGCTTCCCTATTCTGTAATTATTTTTCCAGCTTCAATAAAGTTATTTAAGTCTTTATTTTAAAGTCTCTAAACAAGATTTCAACATCTATAGGCAATGATTCAGTATATATAAACATGAACCAGTATAAACCAAATCGATTTGGACACTAAAGAAACTGAAGCCTCACATTACGACAAATCTGGAAATTATCCAGGTTCAACATACATTTTTAGAACCAGCCTCAATAATCTCAAAAGGCAAAATAAGCACCACCCAAGCTTATATATTTATTTACCTATATCTTCCTCTCTAAAACCAGTGAACCCGATGCCATTTTCCTCTTATCCCCGTTTTGGTTATCACTAAACAGAGCAGCAATTGAACATGCAAGAACAATAAACCACTTGCAACCCCATTTGCCACTTATGCCCAACCTTATCTCAGAAATTTCGAAGCTTTGATACCAAATAATCAGCCCCCTTGTTTCAACAATTAAACAAGCAAATGGAAAAGACTGCGATTAGCCATGTTCAATTTCACCTTGGAAACTATGGTTTTAGTGGTTTTCTGTTTTCTCATTAATCTCTCTATCGTGTAAACTCTCAAATTAATTAACTAAATTAACCCTATATAGTATGGAGGTCAACCTAGGTGGGGGCTTTGTTAAAAGTTTGAAAATCTTTTTAATTAAGAAAAACATGATGTAGAGAAGGAAGGAGTGGAAAAGAAAATTGATTGATTTGTTTAAAAAAAATGAATTGACAAAAAATAAAAAGAAAATAACAATAAGTAAAGGAAAGCAAAAGGAATGAAGACTTTATCAGAATGATGTACTTCCCGAGAATGTTGATGAGTGGCTATCACGGTTCAAAAGGATGAGGAGTTTGTATACAAATAATTACTAAGTCAAAAGAAAAAACCCTAGATAACATCTAAGTTGTGATTAATTAATTAATAATTATATCTAGAGAGTTAGCATATAATCATCTTTCAATTAATCATTTAAAAACCACTTGACTTGTGAATTCAATTAAACAATTATATCTTGTTCCTTGAAGAGAGTTATCTATCAAAAATCCTCGAGTATGAACTACTTATGCAAATCAAGATAGAAATCTATAAAGATAAACACTCATAGAATCATGAGAAAACTGAAAATATATTCATTAAAAGTTTCAAAATATAATTGTTCAACTAAAACACAAATCAAGTATCAGTTCACGAAAGAAAGCAAAACCTTAACTCATGGATTGGAATATGAAAACTAACAAATTCCCCAATAGAAACAAAAACTCAAGTCACATCATCTTGTTCTTAGGAACAAAGAGGACTAGCAGCACATATGACTAGATGGCACCATAATGATAAAAAGAAAATAATAAAAAGAAGAATGTAAAACAACTAGACACAAAAGGAAGCCAAGTGTATGCTTGTGCTTATGTAGTGTAGATGGTTTTGTTCTTCTCCAAGGCTCCTTTAATCTCCTTTTATAGCTTTTGAATTTGTCTTTGTTGGATGAGGAAACTATTGAGTCTTCTAGCTTGATTTTTTATCTTCTTTTATCTTATAATCTTGATAGAACTTTAAATTTGAATTCTCTTAATTTGGTGTGATTTTCATGACAACCAAAGGAAAGAGTTTTTAAATTCAAATGACGTTGGATAAAAGAATAATATTTCACATTTGAATAAAGATATGGTGGTAAGATAAATTGGGGTTACGGTTTAGAAAGAGGATAAAGATGATAATGTGGATATTTGGAAAGTTAAATGGATAATGAATATATGAATAAAATATTTATTCAAATTCAAAATACGATAAAGGAATTATCCAGAAAGAAATTAATTATTCAAGCGCTTTAATTTATAATGGAAAATAAGAGATATTCTGGCTAGATAATTTTCAATTAGATAATTGAAAATTTTCTCTTTTAATGCGAAGTGACTACTACAAATGTAGTTTCCATGGAATCTATGTTTTGCTTGACAGGATATTCCATATAATCAAGGTAGAGATACTTTTTAAAAGGAAAATTATAAAAATATAATAAAAACACACTTTTAAACAGTTAATTTATATAATTTTCTTAATTCAAAATATGAATATCTTTTGTATTTTAAACCCTTAAAACATTATAAAATCCCTTAATTGTATATAAAAAATATATTATAAAATAGGAAGATATCACTTGCCTAGAGGACAACACGTCCAGCATCCACAACATAGTTTCAAGAAGTCCTTTATTCATTTCACGATCTATAAAAGTGGACTCTGCATCTCGTACAGTTTCAAGAAGTCTAACACATCCGCTAAGCTAGGACTTTTGGCACTTTCTTGGGCTCTTGAACAGCAACACCTCCCTCTTCAATGATTCAGTTTCTGCCAACTTCAAGGAACACGACTTATTTGGGTGTACATTTTCAGCCTTCATTCTTTTTCTAAGCCCACAAGCGGGCGTTTTGGCATTGATGTATGCTTGAGTCAGAATTTCATAAGGCCTGAGACGGCCTTTGTAACCACTTTGCCTCATTCTAAAAAGCCACTTCTCAGTATTATGTCTATCTCCAAGCTTTGCATACAGTTCCCTGGCATATAAAAATGTGGTGAACATTGGTCTCACTCTCCTCCTCCCTGAAGTTTTATCTTCAACTACCTTGGTTAAAATTGAATCTGCTTTCCCCACATCTGCATCTCCCACATAGAGCCTCACTAGTCCATCCCTAATCAGAGGGCCAACCCAGCCTTTAACATCCACAATTCAACTTCTTGCCCTCAGATATCTTGTTATTCTGAACATAAACATCTAAAAGATCAGCATAAGTCTTGGATGAGACTTTCTTCCACTTTTCCAGCATCATTTCAAAAACTGCTTCGGCCTCTTCAACTTTGCCCAATGCTATGGCAGCAAGGCACTCATTCATGGTAGGGTCCAATTTACAGACAGTCCAAATTCTACTCACATCATTAGCCCTTCCAAGAGAAGCATAGAGGGATAGTAGTGCCGTCCTTCCACCAATTAAGGTTCTTGTGTTTCCTCTTTCAATTTCATCCACAATAACTAGTGCTTTATCTTTCAGCCCTTTAGATATAAGGTGAACAGAAACGATTGTCAGGACGTGAATATCAAGTTGCAGACCTTGAGACTTCATAGCCTCAATCTCCTGCTCCATCCCCATTGTGTCCTTCAACTCACATTTTAGAGCTATGAGGATCCTGTATGTGAGACGAGATGGCTTCAAATTTTCCTCCTTCATTAATGGTAAGATGTCAGCTATTTTACTTCTATCAATAATTTTATACAGAACGATCATTTGATTGCAATCATATGTAGTGATGGGCAAAAATGGCTCCCTCATTTTCAGAAAAACTGCCTCTGTTTTTTGTCTATTGATAGCACGGACACAGTGAGCTAAAAGGGTTCTGTATAATAACATACCTCGCCAAGAGTCTGGAACTTCATTCAGGTACTTTTCAGCTGCATCAAGTCCTTGGACCTTGGCAATCAAACCAATACGAGAAGCATGATCATATTCGCTAAGCTCAAAATGCTTAAAAGTGCCCAACAGGTCTGAAAATTGCAAAACCAAAAAAAAAAAAGAAAAGGGAAAAAAAGATCACAGCAGAATCAGGTCTAAGCATATGTTTACAATGCAGAGGGCTGACAGAAGTGGGGTCAAAAAACTTAAAAGAAGCACGGAAATATCAATTACCAAGACTAACTCCTGCAGGCATTAGAGATTAACATAGACTGCATCACATTCAAAAAGTAGCACAGACCATTCTAGAATCAACCCTATCTGCCAAATCCCTTTTTCCCATTCTTCATTTCACATGTCATAATAACTCAACCTACACACAATTCAACAAATGGATGAGAACAAAATCATTCGTTCTCATCATGTGTCCAATGAATGAAGGACTCGTATTATTCAAGAGGCTCCATTGCATTGCAAATGCAGATTTTATTTTCAACCCTCATTTATTTGTGGCAGGCTTAAAGAAAAAACATCCATGAATAACTAGGTAGGCACTTCCCACAAAAGAAAAGTTACTTAACTGTTTATTGAAGAAACCAACAAAATAAAAAAAAAATTGCAAATCAAATGGATCAATATTCATTAATATGCATGGATTTGCCATCTACATGGTGCTGTCACATTATTCACGGTTACAGTTTAGAAATTTTCTACTATAGCTAATTGTATATTTTCCATCGAATTCTTTTGGTGATTGATTGTTTGGGGTCATGTGCATGGTCTTTAACTTTGTGAATCTCCCTTGGTTTAATTCATTTATTTTACTTTTTCCTTATTCTTTCGGTTCTAGTAGCTCGCTATTTAACTTGGCCACTAAGTTTTAGATGACTAGGTTGCTAAGTTTTGACAAAACCTATGCTGAATGATATGCTCAATTAGGAATAAATAATCAGCTGAGTTTATTTACAAACTCAGTTGCCTGATGATGCAGTCAAACTCAAAACCTATTCTTTGTAAGCAGGGGGGATGAGAGCAATAACTCTAACCTCTGTTAGTTTCACTGTTATGAAGTTAGTCAGATAAGTCGACTAAGAGCCAGCTCATTGTACACACGTCATGAAGTCTGAACTTCTCTAGCACTATATATGTTGACTCTGTACAATCACTTTATTAAAATTCAATAATAAGAACTAGATCATTTTATCATTTCTCTCTCAATATTTGGCAACCCAATATGTGGACACCTATATTCTAACGGTACCTCATTTTATACGTATTCTAATAATAGACTACGTACAATTATAATCAGTGGCCAAGCTGTGCTGTGCATCCTGGAAACTTGTGAGCTGAATTCTTATATGCCTATATATTTTTCCTGGTTAAGTGAATATCCCAAGGGGCGATTTAATGGCGGAAACTTCTGCAACTTCCTTCACAAAAAGCCAATCAAATGGTGAGTTTGAGAAAGAGGCTTACGATGAAGCATATGAGCAACTTAGCCAAGAATGTAAGGAACTACTTCTTTCACTTCCCAAAAGGAGGGGATGGACTAGCCCATATGTTTATCTCTACCAAGGTATTTGGTTTGCACCAACTAGTATTCAAGCGATATGCTCCTTCCAAAAGCACTTCCAAGCAAAAGATACTGATATTATTATAGCTTCCTTGCCGAAATCTGGTACTACTTGGTTGAAAGCCCTTACTTTTGCCACTGTGAATCGTAGCCATTTCTCTCCTTCACAAAATAACCATCCTCTTCTCATTGCTAATGCTCATGAGCTTGTTCCTTTCCTTGAGTTCAACCTTTATGCCAATAACCAGATCCCTGACCTCTCCAACGTGATTGAACCAAGACTTTTTAGTACACATGTTCCATTTCAATCGTTGCGTGATTCAATCGCCAAGTCCCAATGCAAGATAATCTACATATGTCGAAACCCTTTTGACAATTTTGTGTCCTTTTGGTTTCACCTAAACAAAATCACGCCACCATCTTTACCCAAATTATCACTTGAGGAAGCGCTTGAAAGGTATTGGGAGGGGATCCATGAGGGTGGGCCATTTTGGACACATACGTTGGGTTATTGGAGAGCAAGTAGAGAGATGCCAAACAAGATTCTGTTTTTAAAGTATGAGGATTTGAAAGGAGATATCAACTTCTACTTGAAAAGAGTGGCCGAGTTCTTGGATTTCCCATTCGATTCCAAGGAGGAAAGTGATGGGCTTATTCAAGACATTATTGAGTTGTGCAGCTTTGAGAGGATGAAGGAATTGGAGGTGAACAAGACTGGAAAACTTTTGCAGAAGTATGAAAACAATTACTTTTTTAGGAAAGGTGAAGTAGGAGATTGGGTTAATCATTTTAACCCTTCAATGATAGAGAAATTGTCCAGAGTGATGGAAGAGAAGTTGGGTGGGTCTGGTCTATCCTTTTAGTTGTTCTTATTTCTTTACAACCAGGTAAGCTCCATGGCTTCTAATTTATGCCTGTCTTTGAAAGAAGATAATTTAAGACATAGGCGTCTGTCTGTGGAACCAGAAGCATTGGAACTAACTGAAATTTAACTGTAAGCCATTTCTTGCATCTAATTGTGCCGTTGCATTAGAGCCACTTCACACTTTTTCAGATTGGCAACTTGGAAAAGAATGTTGATGCAGGTTGCAACTTGTGGATTATCAGCATGGGATCGTACCTTAGCAAATTCTCTTGTTGGATTTTGTAAGACATGAAATGTAGTATGCGTGATAGATTGTGAAATTTATTGTATTTCGAATGTTTTAAATAATTTTGAATTTATGCAATTATTCGATTAGGCTTTCATTTTCCTATTTATTAAATGTGCAAATTTTATTTGTGTGTTTTATAATTTTTTTTCAAAAAAGGCATCTGGGCTCCTTTGATTTCCCTATTTTTGGATAGGGTTGCACAATCAGTGGTGAACGTCATTTGTAGTCGGTGCAAAAGTTAATTTTAAACTAACAGTGGACCATCTAGCAAATATATCGTATTGTCCTTTCAGAGTTTGCATTCATGTGATAATTTGAAGGACAAATGATTCGATCTCAAGCTAGCTGGTTTTTAATTCTTGTCTAAAAGAAAGTTCTTTAATACCACCTCCGGTCCTAATTATAAGACCTAGTTGACTAGTTTGAGAAGATTAAGAAAAGAAGTTAAGTTAGTTATTTGTAATAAATAGGTGTTGTCTTTTCTAAAATATCTTTACTAATCAACTATATTGGCTGGAACTACAATTATTAGAAGGATTACCTTGGAAAAAATGCATAAATATGAGAAACAAAGTGGATTGGGGTCTTATATTTAAAATCAAAATAAAAGTCAAATAGAGTCTTATATTAAGGACCGGAGATAGTTTTTTTTTTTCTTACAACTATTCCATGCAAACATAATTTTTAAATTATTAATTATGTGTGAGATAAGCTTACTGTGTATTATACTGAATATGAGAAATTAACTTAGCTTTTAAATTTAGTACCTTAGAAATAAAAAAATGAAAACACCTTGGCCTTCATTACTTTCTCATGTGTACCGCTCCGATTCCTACTATAAGTTGCAGAAAAAAGTTTTGGTCTTCAATAGAAGTTTCTTGTAAAATATTTACTGATCATTTTTTAATTTTATCCTTATTTAATTTTTGTTGAAATGGGAGAAAGAATAATCTAAATTAAAAACCATTAATTATTCGAATCAAAATTATTTTGTCTTTATTTTCAGTTCCAGCCGGGAGGACATGTTTCCTGACATCTTCTTAATTTCCACGAAGCTCACCTCGATCGTCTTTTGCTAAAGAGACAGATCCTATATAGTTGTCACTGACTCACTCTGATTATTAATTTCGAACAATCGAATCTTATACATGCAAAATGACAAGGGGAAAAATCCAATAACAACTGAAAAAGGTGGCGTAGAAAGGACAAATCGAAAGATTATTTTTCCCCTTAATTTAGAAACAAGATAATTAATTCACAGAGATTAAAAAACTTAATCAATTAAGTTGGTTATTTATTGAAAGAAAAAGTTATGTATTGATTTTTCTAAAATAATTTATTTAATTACTTGCGTTGGAGGGTAACCACATTGATATAAATCCCTTTAATTAATATATGTAATCGATATATTTAGGAGATAGTAGATAGATTACAGTCATATATTTAGAACTAAAAAAAACAAATCAGAGAAAATATATTTTAAAAATATTCTTTCAATAAATCTTCACTAGTCGTTGGCAAGATCCGCTTCATAATTTTCCTGATGCTACCTCATTCCTATAAATAATATTACCTCTGGTTCTAAATATAAGAGCTAGTTGACTAATTTGAATAAATTAAGGAAATAAATTGAGTTAGTTATTTGTAATAAATAAGTGATGTCTTTCCTAAAATACTTTTGGTAATCAAGTTTGTTCACTGGAATTACTATTATTACAGGAACTATCTTGAGAAAATAAATAAATAAATATGAAAGACAAAGTGGATTGAGATTTTATATTTAGGACTAAAATAAAAGTCAAACGAGGTCATATATTAAGAAACGGAAGCAGTATCAAGTTATCAACTAATTAACTATACCAGCATTTCAGTGACTGAAGCTGCTTCTACGTTGTTGACAAAAAGCCATAACTCAAATGCTAAGCTTAAAGATGAGGCTTACGATGAAGAATATGAAAAACTTAGCCAACAATTTAAAGAGCTTCTTTCTCTTACCAGAGAGAAGGGTTGTGGCCACCGATACATCTATCTCTACCAACACACTTGGAATATACCAACTCGAATTCAAGCCATATGCTCTTTCCAAAAGGAGATAATTAAAATTGGAGGGATAATGCACTTGTTATTTTATATATATAAATGCTTCGACAGTAGTGATGAATCCACGGACACTTTGGCATCGTCTGCAGGTGGCAGTGGTCCTAGCAATAGGAATCAAAGTTACCATTTTCAGCTTTTTTTAATTCAAGCATGGTCGGCACAGTACAATAATGATCATACTAAATGATTATTTAGTATCATATATTATTGAAATATACTTGTTAAGCCGACTCCCTTAGCGTGCACAGCTGGATCGGACTATCAGCGAATGCATCTGCATCTATCTCTTCACATGCTCCATAATCAGATCCTTCTATAATATGATATTGTGATCGTGATTTTTAATCTCAAACAATGACAATAATCGATTGCCAGATCATGGTGTATAAAAAATGGAAACTTGTTTACTAGTTAATTACCTAACTATACCCATCTCTGGTGGCTGAAGCTAGTGTACTTCCGTCACAAAAGGTCAGCCCAAGTGTTGAGTCTGAGAACGAGATTTGCGATGAAGGGGTGTTTGGATAAAACTAAACTATGGTTTAGAGAATAGCTTTTGAAGAATAAATTCTGGAAATAGATAAAGAATAGATTTGTAAAAAAAAATGATATGAGAAGTGAGAGTGTTGGGATAGTTATTAAAGAAACACTTTTTTACATATACAATTACTAAAAAGAGCATAAGTTAATATGATAAATTATATAAGGAATAGATTTTATAATATATTTAATTTGAAGGAATAAAATTGTTAATAAAATAATTTTTACTAACATATTAATAATATATAAGATAATATAATTAATAACTAATTAATATGTGTATATATATTTATAAATTATAAGATTAAATGTGTTTATAGAAAAAGACTATTTTTTTCTAACAGAAAAATATTAATTTGCTTTAAATATTTTTGGTAAAAAAAACTTGAAAAACAATAAATAACAACGTACTACCTCTTTTTTGGTCCAAAAAAAAAAAAACAAACAGTATTCTCCCTCTGAACAGTGAAGGACCGAAGGACAATATACTACATCTAAACAGTGAAGGACCGAAGGGGTATATATGTCTGGTCAAAATCCTTCTCTCTAAAACCAGCTGACACCTCTCTTTTTTTTTTTTTCCAGAAGCAGATGCAAAAATACTTCTCACAAAAACCATGGTTTTGACCCAAAACATAGTTATTTTGATTTTTGATAGGTGTGTGGGCAAATTTTCCCAAACAAAAGTCAGTGATGAACAATACGGCCAAGAATATAAGGATCTGTTCAAATCTCTGACCATAGATAATTCATATATGTCGAAACCCTTTTGACCAGTTTGTTTCTTTGTGGCTTTTTCATGAACAAAAGTACACCACCATCTTTACCAAAAATTATCAGGTGAGGGAGCATTTGAGAGATATTGTACGGGAATCCATGAGGGTTGGCCCATTTTGGACGCATATGTTGGGTTAGTAGAGAGAAAGTAGGAAAACACCGTCCAAGTTCTATTTTTCAAGTATGAAGATCTGAAAGGAGATATCGAATTTTACTTGTTGAAGGGAACAGCTGAGTTCTTGGAATGCCCTTCACTTCAGATGAGGAAACTAATGGAGTTATTAAAAAGCATAGCTGAGCTATGTAGCTTTGAGAAGAAGAAGGAATTAGAAGTCAACAAGACTGGAAAATTCTTGCAGCAGTATGAAAACAAAGATCTCTTAGGAAAGGTTATAGTAGGAGATTGGGGGTTAATCATTTTTCACCTGGGATGGTAGAAAAAATGTCTAAAGTGATTGAAGAAAACTTGAGTGGGTCCGGTCTATCTTTTGATTGCTCTGTTGATGATATATAATATTAATATGAATTAGGATTTTTTTTTTCATCAAAATTATCTCAGCTTTGAATTAAGACTTGATTTGAATAAATGTAATTTTTTAAAATTTATTCTAGAATATTTTTATTTAATTCTTAGGATTTCAATAATATTTGCTTTTAATGCTATCAATTGCTGGTATTATGAGTAGTGTACTGTTAAGCATCACTACATCCTAAACAGGAAACGCACAGCATAGGCAAATGGAAGAGCCTCTATACTACTAAATCTGAGATCACAAATTTCCAAAGCCTAATGGGCCGCATTTATACAATCCATTAGCAACAAACTCTAAATGCAAATTTAGCTGAGAAAGATGGGCCTTACAAAGCAATGTACTAACCCAAAAAGATTAATACAAGGCTAACAAGAATACCAATACATCAAAATCAAATACTAAGATTTATCTACCATTTCTACACCCAATCAAGTTGGGAAGGAGAAAACAGGTTGGCAGTCCCCAACTTGGGCAATAAGACCGTGTTTGGCTCGACAGAAAGAAGGGGAGAGGAGGGATTTTAATGAAGAGAAGCAGAAGAGAGGAAAGGGAAGGATAGCTACAAAAGAGAGGGGAAAGGAGGGAGAAATTTTAATGATCTCCTATTTGGATTGATTGGAGGGGAGGGAAGGGAGCTATTTTAATGATATCTTATTTTGTTCTAATAAAAAATTAACTATTTTAACCACATAAAATTTAAATGAATTTTCTTCCTTTTTTAATTTTATCTAGATATAACTATATATATAATGCAATTTACCAATTTTAACTTACAAGGCAGTCACACGTTTATAGGATATCAAGATAAAAAGTTGTGAATAATAGATTTCAATCAGAGAAAAGACCTTGAAAGTGAAAGAAAATACTGACGGCCTCTTAAAATTAGAAGAAGAGAAAAAAGGGCCTGCGATTAGTCGTGTTCAATTTCACTTGGAAATCATGGTTTTAGTGGTTTTCCGTTTTCTCGCCTAGAGGACGACATGTCCAGCATCCACAACACAATTTCAAGAAGTCCTTTGTTCATTTCACGATCCATAAATGTGGACTCTGCATCTCTTACAGTTTCAAGAAGTCTAACACATCTGCTAAGCTAAGACTTTTGGCACTTCCTTGGGCTCTTGAATAGCAACACCTCCCTCTTCAATGATTCAATTTGTGCCAACTCCAAGGATCACGACTTATTTGGGTATACATTTTCTGACTTCATCCTTTCCCTAAGCCCATAAGCGGGCGTTTTGGCACTGATGTATGCTTGAGTCAGAATTTCACAAGGCTTGAGACGACCTGTGTAACCACTTTGCCTCATTCTAAAAAGCCACTTCTCAGTATTATGTCTATCTCCAAGCTTTGCATACAGTTCCATGACATATAAAAATGTGGTGAACATTGGTCTCACTCTCCTCCTCCCTGAAGTTTTATCTTCAACTACCTTAGTTAAAATTGAATCTGCTTTCCCCACATCCGCATCTCCCACATAGAGCCTCACTAGTCCATCCCAAATCAGAGGGCCAACCCAGCCTTTAACATCCACAATTCAGTCTAGAAACTTCTTGCCCTCAAATATCATGTTATTCTGAACATAAACATTTAAAAGATCAGCATAAATGTTGGATGGGAGTTTCTTCCACTTTTCCAGCATCATTTCAAAAACTGCTTTAGCCTCTTCAACTTTGCCCAACTTGCCCCAAGCTGCTATGGCAGCAAGGCACTCATTCATAGTGGGGTCCAATTTACAAACAGTCCAAATTCTACTCGCATCATCAGCCATTCCAAGAGAAGCATAGAGGCACAGTAGCGTCGTCCTTCCACCAATTATGGTTTTTATGTTTCCTCTTTCAATTTCATTCACAATAACTAGTGCTTTATCTTTCAGCCCTTTAGATACAAAGTGACCAGCAACGATTGTCAGGACATGAATATCAAGTTGCAGACCTTGACACTTCATAGCCTCAATCTCCTGCTCCATCCCCACCGTGTCCTTCAACTCACATTTTAGAGCTATGAGGATCCTGTATGTAAGACAAGATGGCTTCAAATTTTCTTCCTTCATTAATGATAAGATGTCAGCTATTTTACTTCTATCAAATATTTTATAAAGAACGATCATTTGATTGCAATCTTGTGTAGTGACGGGCAAACCTAGCCCCCTCATTTTCAGAAAAGCAGCTGTACATTTGAAGGTTATAGAAATAATGAATTTTCAAATTTATATGATGCTAAAAACACAAAATTGGAAGTAATTGGGGATGTTAAAGAAATTATTTAAGTTGGTTATTTGTGACAAATAAGAATTGGTTTTTCTAAATTATTTTTAATAATGTGTATCAGAATTACTTTTTAGTGGGAATCTTCTTGCTATATATAACTAATATGAATACGTTTTTAGAGAGAGGCCATAAATTTGGAAATACTTCTTCGGCTCTTAATAAAAGACTTATTTAATTAATTTAATTAGATTAAGAAGATTAGGTAAGTTAGTTAATTATAAGAAATATGATTTTTTTTAAAACATCATA